ACTCGTTGTCATGGATCAAAATCTTTTATAGTGGATAAAGATAGTGTTTTTCTTCTCCTCCACTAATTTCTCACACCATCATTCATCTCCTGGTCAAATTGAGTTGTCGTCGAAGATCGACATAGTTAACTAGGTACAGAAGGTAATTATGTTTCTCATAATAGTTTACTATGTATGTTATTTTTTATTATAGTAGGCAACTATGTTTCTGATAATAGTCAACTATGTTTGTTAATATCTATGTTTTAAACTAGTTAACTATGTTTGTTTAAATAACTAACTATTACAACAACATTTTTCTTGTAGTCAACTATGTCTTGAAATCAGTAGTGCAGTTAACTATGCTATGAAAATAGTTAACAATATTTTCAAATTGGTAACTATTTTCAAAAATAGTTAACTATATTTTAGATAGTCTACTATGCTCTAAGACGTTTCAGAAATAGTTAACTATGTTATTAAATAGTTAACTGTGATGACATATTTTTTTTGTATCCTCTGATCCAATTTTTTTTTCCTATGGCAGTTGTGAAAACACACATCTATTTTTGGCAAGAATACCATTGTAGGAGCAATTTTATCGGGATTAAATCAAAAGAATATATTTAAGGATTTTTTATGTATATTTACCTAAATTATAGTTGTAAGGGAAATTTTTTCATAATTTAATTCTCTTTGCTAATTACCTAATTATATTTTTGGATATATTAATTTCCTAATTGTAAATATACAGCTAATTAACCCTAAAAATTAAGCAATTGGAGCAAATTGTTGAACATATACAATGTTATAAGTGAAAAGAAATAGACTAATCATTAATAAAATTTACAGCGTATGCTTTAATAAAAAAAATCGCTACATTAACAAAAAAACAATGGTGTGAAAAAATTAATTAGTGATTTTTATCTTTCACATCGATTTATTGGTCAATTTTTGTTTTTTATTCATAATTTTTTGTGGGTTTTCTTTCGAGAGTCTTGGTTAGAAGATGATTGACAACTTTAGCATTCTAACAACATTAAAATTCCTAAAATCACTAACTAATTTTTTCACACCATTTTTTTGTTAATGTAAAGATTCTTTTTGTTAAAGCCTTTTGTGACTTTATTTTTGTGATTTTTTGTTTTAAAATAGTAGTTACCTATCTAACATTTTAAATGTTTTTGTATAATATATTGTTGGGTTTAATAAATAAAATATATAATTTTAAAATCGTTAAAAGTTCACAATAACATATTTAATTTGGAATTATAATTTTTGGTGGATATCAAAGAAAGATTTAAAATCGTAGTTACCTATCTAAAGTTTTCGATATTTTTGTATATTGTTGGGTTTAATAAATAAATATTTATATTTTTCAAACCAGTAAAAGTTCACAATAATACATTTAATTTAGAATTATAATTTTTGGTGGTTATAAAAAAAAAAGATAATGGTTAAAGTATTATTGGCTTATTATACTGAAATTGGTCATCTTTATGTTACCCTTTAATATTTGGAATTAAATTACATTAGACTTAGCTATTAAATTGTAAGAATTAATTTTTAAAGTTATTAAAAACACTTAGTTTTGTTTTTCAATAAAAAATTCGAAAAAGACAAATGTCAAAAGAATAGAGGATTACAATAATACATAAATGTTTTTGTTTTTGTGACTTTTTGTTTTAAAATCATAATTATCTATCAAAGTTTTAAATGTTTTTGTATAGTATATTGCTGGATTTAATAAAATAAAATACGTAATTTTAAAATCGTTAAAAATTTACAATAATACATTTAATTTAGAATTATAATTTTTTTTGTTGATATCAAAGAAAGAAAAAAACTGAAATTGGTCATCTTTATGTTACACTTTTTTTTTAATTAACTTACATTAAACTCAGCTACTAAATTATAGGAATTAATTGTTAAAGTTATTAAAAATACTTATTTTTTCTTTTC